AAGAAGAAGAATCAGTAGAAGAAGACGAATCAGAGGAAGCAGAGACATCAAATGCAGATTTATAATTATCAAAATTCCTTTTCTTAAAAAGATACCCCGCCAGATATATTACACTTAACGGTAAGGAACTTGGACTCTTTCGACCGCGAGATTCTTGCACAATGGGAGACAAAGTATCGCGCAAAGTAGTTGGAGAAGATGGTTTAGGGTCTACTGTATCTTCAGACCTACTACTACTACCACTACATTCAGAACTCGAGGAGGAATCACTCGAAATCAAAATGGGACCAATCATTTTAAAGGAAACCTGGGGAAACAAAGATGAACTTTTTTGAGAAAATGTCTTTCCGCGATTAGGTTGTCGCGAAGATGACCCTAGTTCGAACCTACGAACAGAAGGGAAACAGCTATCATCTACACACACTTTGGGACAAGAGGCAACACACTCCTCAGTAGGCCGTTCTTCCCTGGTTCCCAAAGACCTTGTCCTAGGTAACAATCTCGAAGGAGGACTGGATGAGCCAGACCGTTCGAATAATCTGATAAAGTCCACACATTTGTGATTATCAGACATGCCTCAAGCACGATGAAGGAAGACTAAAAAATAAAGATGATTAAGTAGACAAGGTAATAAAGGAAGAAGAAGAACACACCTTATACTTCGGATTAGCAGCCACGAGCAGGACGTGTCAACACCGGAAATGCAGAAAGCAAGCACTGAGGAGCAAAGGATTTCTCACGATATCAACAAAGTCTTTTCCCTCCAAACTACAAAGCTCGATACAAATACGAAAGGTTTTATCAAACGAATAGTCTGAAGGCCACAAAACGTGTTGAGTAAAACGGTTTTATAGGGACACGTGGCGAGAAGGGGAAGCGTTTACTATTCAAAAACTACCAATGCTTATCCTTAAACACCCACATAACGACACTAGCATTTAATGCTTCTGACAGTTAAACGTCTAATCCACCGTTCTTAAGCGACTAAAAATCATGATGACGCTTTAACATAATTACCGCGCCAAACAAAAAGGGCATATGGGATCTAACTACCGCGCTCAAACAACATATAGCTCACAGCTTTGCCAGATGACAAAACTGCAAGCTAGGGGGAAACTGATCCAGATAAATTAGAGGCCCATTAGAAGCCCAATGTCATACAAGGAAGCTCAATCCCATTAAGGATCCAGAGCAAAGCGCGATGGACAACATCGCGCACAAGACGCGATGCTCTCATCGCGCAAGACAAAACGCGATGCCCATATCGCGGATACTAAAGGAAGCTAACTTAAGACCCAAGGCAATCCCACCGCGTCTTTATACCAATAAACAGAAGACAGCTCCAGCTTGCCGCGACTCTATGGCTTGACATTAAGAAGATAAGGCTACTCAATTCTAGCACTGACCTGCAGCCCAAGCCTGGCCACTCAGAGGCCATGCCGCCTTACTAAAGGCGGCATCATAACCACTATATAAGCAGAGGGTACAACACCCAGGTACATTCATCCTTTACATTAATAACGTACAAACTTCTGCCTCTGATACTGACTTAAGCATCAGAGTGTCTTCGCAGGTACCCCTCCCCTCATTCGGATTCATCGCGCTACAACAAAGGACGGAGACATAGTAAGATCCAACTCTGATTCGAGGCCCAAGACCAAGAACAACAATCCACATCTCACCGTGTGTGATTATGCTTGATACATATTGGTCAGCCCATATCGTATTTGGTCTGATCAGATATTAATTCAACAAATTGTGGGTAACTATTATATGTTTTACTATCTTATAATTGTTCTTTTGTAAAAGGATGAATGCATTCGCTGAGAAACTCTTTTGAGGATGAACACAGGAGTTGGGTCTTTCTCTTCTCAAAACTTTTCCAAAAGAACGTTTCAGGTTTCTCTTTGTTGATAAAGAGAAAAAAATCATTGTGACGTGAGTCAAATGTGACTGGAAAATAAAACATTTAAAAAAAAATAAAAACCAAATTTCACATATTACAAAATGGGAAATTGAAAGAATGAATGCTAGCTAACTCCAAAATTTCAACCGGTCAAAATAGCACAAAATGATTATCACTCAAAAGTCAAAAATTGCATTCGGATGAGTCACTAGGAAATAAGTCATCGGAAATTAGGCATACAACTTAAAAATCACTCACCACCACTGTTGTTCTCAAAAGGGCAAGGAGGAAGAAGGTATGCTTTTCAAAAGCAAGACAGATGAAAAAAAGTCAAACATAACAATAACATGGAGAAATGGTTGGAGAGATAAGAAGGGATTTGGGTCACTTTAGATCACGTGATACTTAACAGAGTAGTTATATGTTTAACGGATATGTTTAATAGTTATAATAACAAAGTATAAGTAGGTTCATTGTTTTAATTGACAGTTTAGGGTGGTTTTTTGAAAAGGTTTAGTGTAGCACAGTAATTTGTAATTTGCCCTAAAAACTAATGTATAAATAAGTACAAGTTTAAAAATCAATTTTAAAAAATCATATGAAATTCTATTAAAAAGGATATTTATATTTTGTCTATATATATCATATCATGACATTATATATAATTCTCTCACACACCAAATAGAATAATATTATCACTGTTTATTCAATGTACGTCAAACATAGGATAATATATGAACTTATTATACCCATAACCTATCCTACCTCTATAAAGTCCTCTTGTTCTATCCATTCCAATACTGTCCGCCAAATCAGCCCACGTCTTTCTGAAAAGGGGGGAAATAGCAAGATAGAGGCACACTCAGAAAATGCCACAATTCAGGACAGATTTCAAAATCCCGACATTATCCTCCAGTAATAGAGAATGACAACACCCCACTCAATGCATTCCGAGAGAGAAACAATTCAGACTCTACATACAACATCCTATTACTACAGCAATGACCAAGAACACACAAAAGTATCACCTCGTTCAAAGATAAGAGATAAAACTGAGCTGCATTGCTCATCTTTGTCAACCAAATATCTTCTAAATATACATCCACGCTCAATCCATCTAACTTGTAGATAATATAAATTCTGAAGTTGACACATATGGAAGCCATTTTCTTGATGCGACAATTAATGGAAAGATATCGAGAAAAGAAGGACTTACATATGGTGTTCATAGATCTTGAGAAAGCATATAATAAGATTCCAAGGAAAGTTTTATGGTGAGTTCTTGAGAAGAAAAAAGTACCATCAAAGTATGTAAAGGCAATCAAGGATATGTATGATAGGGCTACTACATGTGTGAAAGCTAGTAATGGAACATCAAGTTATTTTCCTATAGGTGTACACCCAGGTTTGGCTCTAACTCCTTATCTTTTTGCCTTAGTTATGGATGAACTAACAAAATATATTCAAGAGGAAGCGACATGGTGTATGCTTTTTGCAGATGATATTGTGCTTATTGACGAGAACAAAGACATTGTTAATAGAAAACTTGAATTGTGAAGAACCACGTTGGAATCTAAAGGATTCAGGTTAAGTCGGAGCAAGACTGAGTGTTTGAAATTAGTTTTCTCTGGTAAGAAATGTAGACCAAGATCCTGTGCATCTAAGTGGTCAAGAGGTACCCAATAAAGATGCTTTTAGATACTTGGGATCCTTTTTACAAAATGGTGGAGAGATCGATGATGATGTAAATCATAGAATCAGAGCAAGGTGGATGAAATGGCGTAGTGCATCTGGGTTTTTGTGTGACCGCAAAATTCCCCTTAAGGTAAAAGAAAAATTCTATAGAACAGCAGTAAGACCTGCAATGCTATATGGAGCTGAATGTTGGCCAGCATATAGACAACATGAGCATAAAATGAAAGTAGCAGAGATGAGGATGTTAAGGTGGATGTGTGGTTATACGAAGATGAATAAGATAAGAAATGAAAATATTCGACGAAAGGTAAGAGTACTACCGGTGGCTAAAAAGAAAAGAGAACATAGATTGAGGTGGTTTGGGCACGTAATGAAAAAGCCCCTGGATGCTCCCGTAAGAACAAAAGTTTGTTACTAAAAGCTCAACACAAAGAAAGGTAAAGGCAAACCGAAACTTGCTTGGAGGAAGGTAGTAAAACAAGACTTAAATGAAGAGGGATATAGATTGGCGGACGGTGTGCCTTAGAACGGAATGGAGAAAAGCTATAAGCATGATAGAGAGTTAGACATGTTGTTATTCCTATGTTTCCAGATGATCCCTTTTTAGTTCTTTTCCTCTTCATTTTCCCCTTTTCTTCTTTTTCCCTTCTTTTATTACTTATATATATATATATATATATATATATATATATATATATATATATATATATATATACTATTTTATTTTTTTATTTTTATTTTTATTTTTATTTTATCTTTTTCTAACTTTTTCGTATCTTTTATTTGGATTCATCTACCACCGACTCCAATTAATTTGGGATAAAGGTGTAGTTGATGTTAATGTTGACACATAACAGACATCAAATGCAAGGCTAGATGTGTAAAGAATGACAATCAACTGATGAATATGAAAATGCTACATATTCAGTGAAAAGATAGGAAAGAAAAAGGCTATCTTCTGTCAGCCTGATGAATCAATTAAACAGACTCAACCCAACCAAAAGAAAACAAAATATCTTAATACTTGGCTGGGCCAAGTTCTGTTTCTCATTAATCTCTCCATTATATCATCGATATTTCAAGCAGACCCAAACAAGGTCGGTCTCAGAGGCCATGGCAAATTAACTCATAGCATAGATCAACATAGCATTCTTGAAATGAAATCCCAGCAGCTGATAAATACTATATACAATATCCATGCTGATAGATAAATATCCTCCCTCCCTTTGTCATCCACAAAGGTGCTTACCTACTGTTCATCCCCGGTTCTCTTCCTCCATTCATGCTATATGAGAGCTAAAAGTAATAATGTAAAATACAAAAGCCACCAATTTGCAGCAATAAAACCAACAGAATTATCAGGCATTATAACAACAATATGTAATTATTGATTACCATAGTGTACCACTCACTGCAATTGAATATAAATACACATGGATCAAAAGGCATATTTTAAGTAGAAAAGGAAGATAGATAAGAGAGATATTTAATGAAATTTAAGTGCTAACAATCCCAACCAAGTGACTTATTTTGAACTGCTTCACTAATATCTAAGTGAAAAATAAATTGTACATTCCTATAATATCACAAGCAGGTAAATTTGCATCTATATCAAAAGACAAGACAAAATAAAATTAGGACCTTGATTCAACTTATCAATTCACTAAATCAAACTTCTGAAGCATGTCGCAGTGTGGTGTTTCCCGGACATATCCCCACTGGCGACGCTGTAACTCAAAATGACAGTTCTGACGAAGAATGCTGAAGTATTCCCTCTCAACCTTTTCTTCAACTGTTGAGCGTTCGCGGCTACCCGGCGGATAATTTTGAGCAAAATTCGTGGACTTAACATAGTAGTTAACACCCTTCGGTGTAGTAAACCGATGTTCAAAAGGATAGGACTGAGAAAGTGTATAGATAGGATCGGAAGATGGCAAAAAGTTTAAAAGCAAAATAAGCAGAACAGGAAGCAACTGAATTAGCGCCCTGACATTAAATCCACCAGCAGACCCATGTTCAGCCTGCCTATGACCCATCCCTGGTCCAAAACTGAATCCACCAAAATTAGTTGCAGGAGCCATACCACCAAAGAAGAAATTCCTAAATATTTCCTCAGCATCAATATCAGCCTCATAGTATCCATTATAAGCCCTGGTTGCGGGCCTTGCCGCTGCTCGCCTCTCATAAACGGATTCATCTTCTCCAGAAAGATCATACTTCTTCCTGCTCTCTTCATTACTAAGACACTGAAACGCCTTTGAGACAGCCTTAAACGCTTCCTCAGAGCCAGGGGCTTTGTTCTTATCCGGATGAACCTTCAGAGACAGCTTCCTGTATGATTTTCGCACATCCTCCACAGTACAATTCTTCTCCAACCCCAAAATCTCATAGTAATTCTTCTTCCTCTTAATCTCTCTGATAATTGAAATTTGCTCCTCAGTATATGTAACCGATGAGGATGAGGATGACGATGACGCCGCTGCCGAAGCCCCAGCCACAGGACCCCTTCGGCGGATAGAAGGTTGACCGGAGGGCGGCTTTGACTGCTCTGACGGTCCAGCCGAGGCAGCTGCGGGGGGTTGATCGCCTGCATCCTTATCTATCGCCGACAATAGTTCGTCGATCGGCAGCGTGGGGTCGAGGCGGCGAGCTTTCATCACGAACTTCAAAGCTCGGGTGCGATCGCCAGCTTCTAACGCTTCTTTTCCGATTCTCAAGCATTTCAACGCATCGTCCTTGTTCCCATCCATTTTGCAATTAACAATCGTAACAGGATTTCCAACGGATCTATATACCTAGCGAAATAGGGTAAGGAAAGGGGAGTAAACAATTCGCAAATTACATGTCACAATAGAACATGATTCAATTCAGAAAATTTAACAACGGATGAAGAGAATAAAAAAATAAAAAAAGGAAACAATTGAGAATTATGAATTAAAATGCAAAATTGTTGTGAAGGATCGGTTTGATTCGTCAGATCGACGGAGAGAGTTAAGGTATTGAGGGAAATTGAACTTACAGATGGAGACAGAAGACGAGCGAGGAAGAATTGCTCCTTCAAGATCGAGAATCAAGTGAATTAGGGTTTCATGCAGCAATCGAAAAGAGATTGTTCTTCACCTGTTGGTGCCCCACGATTGGGAAATCGGAGCAACTCTGAAAATCTTGTTCTAGTATTTTCATTTATATACGTGGTCTCGCCTCGTCTATCACGCGTGTTTATCAAACTTTTCTATTTTAAATAAGAAATTAAGAGATGTTATATTCAGAAACTTTTTATTTATAGACTTTTATAAATTATATTATGTATTTTGAAGAATATATTCTTAAGTGAGTACATTATCCGGAATATATAATATAACTTATAAGAATTTTTGTTGTTGAAAGAACACTATAAGTGGATTAAAAATCTGAAAATGGATGGCTTATGTAACACCACACAATTCAGCCTATGTGTGCTTTAATATGCATGCCATGTGTTTGTAATATTTCCTAAGTGAAATACATGAAATTGAGATGACAAATTGATGGTTTAAGTGATTAAAAATGTTGTTTGTTTTAAGATTTCATGAAACTTGATTAGGGGAGGTTCAGCCCATGATGGTATAAGGTTTAGGAAAGTGATTTTATAAGGCTAAGAAGATGTTTCGATAAGTTAATGAAGTATTAGAATTGATTAATTCAATGTTCATTGTGAGAAGTTGATAAATAAGTTCAAATTCTAAATTCTAAAATTTCAAATTCTAAATTCAAAATTCGAATTTCAAAAATTCAAATTCAAAATTCAAAATTCAAATTTTAAATTTCAAATTTCAAATTCCAATTTCAAAATTCAAATATTTGATAATTAATTTAACTAATTAAATTAATTAGTAATGTCTTGGACCATCTAAGCCCATACATGATCCATGCGCCCTTTTCCCTTTTGGTGGGCTTCCAAACTTCTTCTTGGGCTAACAATCATTATTAGGCTCAATACCTTTGTAAAGAACCAATTCAACCCAAAAGCTTAAGCTATTGGGTGAGGGTACATTAATGGTTTTATATATCTCAACACGCCCCCTCACACGACAGCTCACTGGGCTTGAAGGGTGGACAATACACAAGCCCACCTACCTGTGCGAACAAAGAAATTCCACTTGAAAGAAAGTGGGGGGCGGCGAGGATCGAACCCGGGACACGAGGCTCTGATACCATGTAAAGAACCAATTCAACCCAAAAGCTTAAGCTATTGGGTGAGGGTACATTAATGGTTTTATATATCTCAACAACCTTTAATGCTATATTATCATGACAATAAGGTGTTAGTGTGTGACCCATTAGACCCAACATAGCCACTGACATAAATGAGCTTGGGACCAACAAGCCCACAACCCATCTAATGACAACACAGAGCACTAGCAATGCTTTGTTGCCCCAGAGCTAGTTAGGTTAATGACATAATCATCCTATTACACATATTTGGTTGCCGTATGTATTTCCTTTCGTCTCGGTTATCTTCCTCATTAAACTTAGGGTAAGGAAATCTATCAACCCTTGCGGTTTAGGGTAAGCTTTATTCGAAATAGGGAATCTTCAATTTACTGACTCTAAGGGCAGATCATCTCATGACCTCTTTTACTATGCATAGATTCCCGAGTCCTTGTAAATGTCATCCTGATTTCTCCGGTTTACAGATAACCTAATCTCTCATAGAGATTTGACAAATTCCTTCAGCTTATCACCCTAGCTTTATGCTCTTTCAAGACAAGCCCAACAGTGTACCTATGAGTCTCCATGTTTCAGGCAGACGAGGTATACAATCAAAACGTGCCTTCTAGAACACAGTCTAGGTAATAACTTCTGGTCTAAGGAAAGACATACTCAAATATAAAGAAACTACTCTAATGATACTCTATGTGAGATTTCCTCATAGAGTCTCTTTGTGGGTCTGTTCAGTGCGAGCTATACCCTTATAGGTCCACCCACGACTTTAGCTAAGACATCTCCATATCTGTAGCAGATGAGGTCTTTACCTTGTATCCAAATACAAGTAGATAAGTCGTGCTAGTTTTATCCGAGATCACTGATCCCCATTCTCAGTGTCTATAGACTAGGAACATAGAATTAGGAATAAACGTGTGGTATCCTTGAATCCTCATAATTGTGATCTCATCACAGATACTCAAGAAATACATGTTCTATTCTAAGGGGTTTATCCAGTTTATTAATAATATATTAACAATAATATCGAGACAAAATATGAAACATGATAAATAGTGCTTATTATTTATTTGCGACAAAAAGGTTCACATCTTATGTCCTTATTTAATCAAAAATATTGTCTCTAGGACATCCATATACTAACAAGCTCCCACTTGGCTAGAGCCAATCAGACCTAAGTCGTATACCCAAAGCCTTATAATGACTATCATGTTTTCTGTGAGAAACAGCCTTTGTCAGAGAATCGGCTAGGTTATCATCTGTGGGAATATAATCCATCTTTACATCTATTCTATCAATGATTTCTCTAATCAGGTGATATCTGCGGAGCACGTGTTTAGATCTTTGATGAGACCTAGGTTCCTTTGACTGCGCAATGGCTCCTGTGTTGTCGCAAAGCAACTGTATGGGCTCATCCACGCTTGGAACTACCCTTAGTTCAGATATGAACTTCTTGATCCACACGGCCTCTTTAGCCGCTTCTGAAGCAGCTATGTATTCAGCTTCTGTCGTTGAATCTGATGTTGTCTCCTGCTTGGAACTCTTCCAAGATACTGCCCCACCATTTAAGGTGAATACGAACCCTGACTGTGACTTGCAGTCATCTTTGTCACTCTGAAAGCTGGCATCAGTGAACCCTTTCACTGAAAGCTCATCAACCCCACCATAGACCAGAAACGCATCCTTAGTTCTTCTTAAGTACTTAAGGATGGTCTTGACTGCTGTCCAGTGACCCTCTCCTGGGTCAGACTGGTATCTGCTCATAATGCTCAAAGCATATGAGACATCTGGTCTCGTACATATGTTGCTAATGGGTTGGGGTTAAGAGTATCACAGATGATTCCCCATATGTGTATTACTACTGCTACAGGAGAGGTTAGTGATTCCTCCTTTATTTGTAAAGAGGTTGGGTTTATCTACGAAGGCAGGGGTTACACTATTGATTTGATTATCTTGCCCCTGACCTCTGTTAATTTGATATTGGGTATGGATTGGTTGTCTCAAAACTGCGTAATGATTGATTGCTGCGACAAGAGGTTTATATTATCTCACGAGAAGCCCTCGGTTTGTCCGTCTCCTTTTCTGTTTATCTGTCAAACAATTAAAGCCTTGAAGGCTGGTGATCTGGGTTATGTTTTCTTGGGTGGATTGGTGGGTTATAAGGAGATAGGGATTTCTAGTATTCCGGTGGTTAATGAATTTGTGGATGTTTTTCCTGATGAGATACCAGAATTTCCACCTGAGAGAGATTGAGTTCTCTATTGAATTGTTGCCTGGTGTGGGGCCTATCTCTTTGGCTCCATACCGGATGTCGCCACTGGAGTTGGCTGAGTTAAAGAAACATATTGAGGAGTTAGCTGCAAAGGATTTTATCAGACCGAGTGTGTCTCCGTGGAGAGCACCGGTTATATTTGTGAAGAAGAAGGATGGAAGCATGAGATTGTGTACTGACTACCCGGCAGTTGAATAAGGTTACGGTTAAGAACAAATACCCATTGCCGCGTATTGATGATTTTCTGGATCAGTTGAGGGGTGCCTGTGTATTTTCTAAGATTGATCTCCGGTCCGGATACCACCAGATCCGGATTAAGCCGGAGGATGTGCCTAAAACGGCATTTTGTTCTAGATACGGACACTACGAGTATCAGGTGATTCCTTTTGGGCTTACTAATGCCCCTGCGGTGTTCATGGACTATATGAATCGCATTTTTAAACCGTATTTGAACCAGTTTGTAATTGTGTTCATTGATGACATTTTAATTTATTCTAAAAGTGAAGAGGAGCATATGGAGAATCTGAGGACTGTGTTGCAGGTATTAAAGGATAAAAAGTTGTATGTGAAGCCATCTAAGTGTGAATTTTGGTTATCTGAGGTGCAATTTTTGGGTCATGTTATTTCTGCGAGGGGTGTTGTAGTGGATCCAAACAAAATTGATGCAGTAATTGACTGGGAACGACCGAAGACTGTGATTGAGATCCAGAGCTTTCTGGGTCTTGTTGGTTATTATCATAGATTTATAGAGGGGTTTGCCACAATGGTACTACCGTTGACCCGATTGACACGAAAGGATACTCCTTTTGTGTGGACCCAGGATTGTGAGAAATTTTTTCTGGCTCTTAAAGAGAAATTGACTACTGCTCCTGTGTTGACTTTTCCCGATCCGGAAGGTGAGTTTGAATTATACTGTGATGCTTCCAAGAAAGGTTTGGGGAGTGTGTTGATGCAAGAGAGGAGAGTGGTTGCTTATGCTTCTAGGCAGTTGAAGCCTCATGAGGAGAATTACCTGACACACGACTTGGAGCTTGCTGCTATTGTATTTGCCTTAAAAATCTTGAGGTATTTTCTGTATGGAATGAAATTTGCTGTGTTCAGTGATCACAAAAGTCTGAAATATTTGTTTGATCAGAAAGATCTGAATATGAGACAGCGGAGATGAGTGGAATTCTTAAAAGATTATGATTTTGAACTGAAATACCATCCGGGCAAAGCTAATGTGGTAGCAGGTGCCTTGAGTAGAAAGTCTGTCAGTGTGTCCTAGCTGATGTTGTGGGATAATGAATTGATTGAGCAATTCCGTGATTTCAAATTGACGGATGTCTTTGCAGGTAAGATGGATGAATTTGAGTGCTTACATATTGAGAATGAATTACATGAGAAAATTAAAGAAACTCAGATACGGAACAACAGTATCAAGTATTTGAAAGGGCAGAGTGGTATATCTTTGAATGAATAGGGATTATTAATGTATCAAGGAAGGATTATTGTGCCCAAGGAGTTAGCAGATGAGGTAATGGTTGAGGCCCATAAGGGTCAATATGCTGTCCACCCAGGTGCCACAAAAATGTATCAAGATCTGAAAACTAAGTTCTGGTGGCCTAGGATGAAGAAGGATGTTGCTGAGTATGTATCAAGATGCTTAATTTGTCAAAGAGTAAAAATAGAACATCAGAAACCTGCTGGTTTACTTCAGCCATTGGATATACCAGAGTGGAAATGGGAGAGAATCTCTATGGATTTCGTTGTTGGTTTGTCTCGGAATCAGGCTGGTCACGATTCAATTTGGGTTATAGTGGACAGGCTTACGAAGTCTGCACATTTTCCGCCAGTGCGAGTGGATTTCTGTACGGAGAAATTAGCAAAGTTATATGTAAAGGAGGTTGTAAGGCTCCACGAGATACCGGTTAGCATTGTTACACTACAAGAAACTTGTTATATTGAGGCGGTTTTCAGAGTATTCTGAGGCGGTTATAACCGCCTTTGTTTGATACGGCAGACGGTTCCATAACTGCCTCAATTACTACTGTCGAAAGGCTATCTAGGGCGGTTAAAATAAAGCGCTGGTAGAACCGCTTACGATTAAATAGAGGCGTTTCATTCGGCGGCTATTACCGCCTTAGTTAGCAGAACAAGAATCTGGGGTGCAATCAAGGGCGGTTCATTTAACCGCTTGTGTATGACATATTCAGGCCTTTCTGAGAACCGCCTCATGTAAATATTTTGTGTAGGCGGTTTATGAAACCGCCTCTGTATATTATAGAGGCCATTTTTGTAACATTTAGGTGGTTTGTAAAACCGCGTGCATATAAAATCTGGGTTGCAAAACCGCCTCTGATCCAATTTCTATGGCAGTTGTAGAACCGCCTGTGAATTTATATAATATTTTTTTTATATAATTATGTAATTTTGTTAATGAACGTGTACCTAAAATCCTCCAAAAGCTAGTGCATTTAATCTGTTTTTTTAATTGTTGCATTTGACCATACAATTTTAACATCCTTGAATTAAAAGCATTATATATATAAATTCATCACAAGATTAAAAGCCCATAATTGCATACATTAACAAAAATCATACAACAAACTGTTTAACAACCATAAAAAGTCTCAACTGTTATGGAAAAGTCTTCAACAAATCCAACATGATAATGACAAAAAAGCAAGAACAATATCGATCCAACATCAATGACTACATCAACTATTCAAATTTGTGGTGGTGGTGGAATTTGATGGGATGAATACAGTCCTTCACAATTTGGGTCATAACTTGCATGAGAAGATCTTCTAACCCCGGGAGAACCCAAATCTGCTACCTGATACATTGGGGGGAAAAATCACTATAACTATCCATGATAAACCTGATATATGTGTCAATGAATTTAATAAAGTAACTATGACTATAACTAATTTTCTTGGCTTGCACATATCATGATCATTTGTGCCAAAGTGCAAAGATTATTATTATTTTTTTGCAATAGTGCAAAGACTTTATAAATGCAAAATAAAGGATATGGAATACATTATGGAAGAATCACATAAAACAAACGTACTAAGTAAAATGTACCAAGCTGTCCAGTATAATAACAATTCGGGTCAAATTGTATGGGCAGAATTTCACACTGATTTTCACCAAGCTGTCCAGTATAATAACAATTCGGGTCATAAAGAAAGGAACCAGAGTTTCACACTGATTGGCATTTTATTCTTAACGTATGGGCAGAATTTAAACAATAACATTTTATACTACTATATCATCAACAATACCAATCAGCACTGCAGAACATAAATATGAAACAAATATATATGCAAAAAATCTATAGTCTTGAAAAAAATTATTGATGTCCATGCATAGGCAACACAAATTTAACCAACTCTAATTCCAAAGTATGTAGGAAATTACGACCCAAGATTTACCTCATTTAAGGAAATATGAGAAGCCTGTTGAGCATTCAAATGTTGCATAATAGAAGCCATTTGTGCTTTCATGGAGTCAAATTCTCCTATTTTTCCTTTTAAACAGTCAAGTTCCTGTTTGAGGGCATCATACTCTGCTTGTGAAGGACCAGCAGAAGAAGATGATGCAGAAGTGCAACGGCGCTTACGCATTTGAGTTATAACCACCCCATACCCCATTCCTCTAACTCGCCCCGGGTGCTCCTTCCCCAACACTGTCTCAAATGCCTCATCTTCAGAAGTTATCTCCTCTATCTCTGCTTGTAATTCGTCCTACAACAAAATGTCAAACATTTAATTTAACAACTCTACTATAGCTTCCTAATTCACCAACAAAATACATACATTCTTTTCTCTAGCTTCTTCACACAGAAAATTGCCATCCTTTTTCGTATGCGAAATGGCCCACATTTCCCCCTACTAAATTTGCGTCCATGTTTTTGTTCCTAAAGCAATGTCGGTATATTAAATGTTAGTTAAATTCACAAATCAGAAATAGATTACAAGATTTGAAATTCGCATAAATACCAGGTCGTATTTTGTCCTTGCAATGCTTTTTGATCCAAGTGTATGCATAATGGTCTGCTTTGCTCTATTTCTAGTATTTATCTCACTGTATTTCTGCATTGTCCAGCAAAGCTTATTTAAAATGAGGTCAAGTTAACCAAATTAAGAAAATATATACATGCTTATGTCGTTACCTTGGCTTTATCACTTAACTTATATTGCAAAAAACCAGCCCATTGTTCTCTAGTCAGACCATCAGGATAATTCTCAAGGTTTTGCTCATAACTTTGATCTTTATGATAATAATAATTGCATAGCCTCCATCTGTTATCCTTCCATTTCTTTCCCATACTTCCCATACAATAATCGCGGTGGTAATCCAGGAAAACATTAAACTTTTTCTGCAATATGGATAATATAAAACAAAATCAATGGGGTGTAATTTCAGCTTAGTAAATGAAATTGAAAGAACATTTATACCGTTATGGTCTTCTCCCAAGCAATCTTCTTATAGTTTGGAGGTACATGAGGCCACCTATCGAAACATATTGGGAACATATTAGTGTTACATGCAAGATGTCCTAAAAAGCCATTCAACAGTGCAGCAGCATCAGAAACAGGCTGCTTCTCTTCATTCCATGGCACCATCACAAGCTTGTTATATGCAAGTACCAAAACGTCCCTAATGCGCAATTTTTCCTCGTTAACCCTTCCTTGTTCATCTATAACATATACTCATGTGATTTTTGTTAGTGAGACAATAATTTATGACATAAACAAACATGAATAAGAGAGTCAATATATGTGTTATATGGTATACCTATAACATCAACCACCCAATAATTGTTGCACACCCTCTTGGGCCGGTAGGGAGCTTGGCTTTCATTTTGTTGAGCAGATTCATTAGAAACTTCATCTCCTTGGCTTTGTACTTCACGTGGCTGTGTTTCCACACTTTCAAGCCCATTTCCTATGTTCTCATTGGCTTGTACATTTTGTGTTTGCAGGGTAGGAGTTGTAGAGGTTGTTGAAGCTTTTCTTGCAGCAAATCTCCTTGTACGCGACATTTCACCTAATGCATTTGTCCAAAATATAACATGCAAACATATATTTACGTATTTACAAATCATCCAATTTCAATATCTAGTGGAAAAAGTTCATAGTATGTTAGCATCACGATATTGAATGGCAATATCAAGCAACATCAATGCACAAACATAACATATGATATAAAGAAATCCATACATAACTATACCAAAAAAAACATAAGGAATAAAAACACATGCTACATGTGTATATAAGTAGACATAACCTACTCCCTAAACAAAAAATTCATATGTCTAAATCTTCATCCTCATTGTGAATATCTATCAAATTTTGAGTGTCATCATCTGTGGCAGGTCTTGATAATGTTAGACCTAATCTATCATCAACTAAAATTTGGTCTAAGTTCTGTGATGGGAATAGGTCAGTGGTTGTCATGATATCTTCGCCCATATCATACAAGTCTCGAGGCTTTACATGGACAGGTATGCACCAACCCTTTTCTTTCTCATCATCAACATAAAAAACCATCTGACTTTCAGAAGCTTTAACATACGGCTCATCATCTTCTTTCTCACCAGTATGTATCAATTTTGAAAAGTTAATTTGGGTAAAACCCAATTTATCTTTTTTATGCCCTCTATGAGTAGTTGTATCAACCCATTGACATTTAAACAAGGGCACAATGAACAAGCCATTGTAGTTAATCTCAATAATGTCAACCAATTTCCCATAGTAAGGGACTCCTCCACATATCATTTGGTCATCTCTTCTGCTTGAATAACTTCTTGTGTCAAACTTTCCAAAAACCCCATTATTTTGTGTTTTCAGGTTGTTATCTCGATCCAATGTTCGAAATTTGAACCCGTTCACATTATATGCATTGAACCTTCTTGCTTCATACATAGGACCTTGGGCAAGGGTTAACATAATATCTTTGTCTGCTTCTCTAATATTTTCAATATCTAAAGGAACCTACAACACAAAAAAGTAATAATGTTAGCACCGTGCAATTTTATTCGTGAAGGATAAATATTGTTGACCTTTATTGTGCAATAAAATACCTACACGTTTAGATAACCAATCAACAAACTCTCTATGAACCCGTTTATCTATCTCAGCTTGACTTCGATTAGTCCTTCTTAGTTGCCTCTTCACGTCCCTCCGAAACTCCCTAAACAAATAATTGAAATTATAACATGAATAACAATAGCATGCTTAAAAAAATCATTGAGGTTCACTTACTGGACGTATGGTTCAACAAGTGGACAATTCGTCAACACATGCCTATGAGCCTGCAACCTCTGCATTGATGTAAGATTGAAATATGATGATGCACCGATTGGCTTTCCTACTCGGGGAAAGATTTCATCCATGCGTGATTTATCTTGCGCATCATTAGGTACATCATCGACCCGCCCAGGTCGATTCCATCGAGTCTCAATATTATCTATGTACCTTGAACAAAATGTTAGAATTTCTTGCATTAGGTAACCTTGTGCTATAGACCCTTCTGGTCGAGCTCTGTTGCGCACATATGATTTCAATTGTCCTAAGTATCTCTCAATAGGATACATCCATCGATAGTGCACAGGACCTCCAAGCTTAGCTTCCTTAACAAGATGAACAATCAAATGAACCATGACTGTGAAGAACGATGGAGGAAATAACATTTCCATATGGCATAGGGTGACCACCACTTGACGTTGCAATAAATCCAATTTTTCAACATTCAACACATTGTCGCACATTTGTTTGAAGAATGAACACAACTCAATTAAAATGCTTGAAACATTATCAGGCAATGCTACTCGTGTGGCCAATGGCAGTAATTGCTCAATCAATATATGACAATCATGACTTTTCATCATTCCATTCAACCGCATAGAATCCACATCAATGCACCTAGAAATGTTGCTTGCATAACCATCTGGTACACTGATATTCCTCAATGTTGTTAGGAACATCTTCTTGCCTTGATTAGTCATTGCATAGATTGCTAAAGGATATTTTCCATCCTCAAGGTCATGCTTACAACCCATTCTTACAAGATCTTTTCTTGCATTCAAATGATCTTTTGACTTAGAGGCATCATTAAGCAATGTGTAAATGATATTATCACACATATTTTTCTCAATGTGCATCATGTCAAGATTGTGACGCAATAAATTATGCCTCCAATATGGAAGTTCAAAAAATATACTTTTCTTTTTCCATTGTTGGGTGCTGCCATGTGCATCACGGTCACTAGCGCGTCTTCTTTTTCTTCTTCCACTAACTTCGGGTGCTCGACCGAATGTCACATTAATATTTGCAACTTGTTCAAGTATTTCACAACCAGACAACAACCTTGGAGGATTACGCACATCTTGCTTTCCATTAAACCGAACCTTGTTCAATCTAAATCTATGTTTTTGGTCAAGAAAGCGTCGATGACCCATAAAACACCATTTTTTACTATGATAAAGACGACAAGGTTCAGAATCCAGGTTGCATGACGAGCATGCTTTACCAGTGTATGTGTTCCAACCAGATAGATTTCCTAAGCCAGGAAAATCACTAATCGTCCACATCAATGCTGCATGTAATTTGAACATCTCCCGTGTGAAAGCGTCATACGTATCTACACCATCCTGCCATAATTCTTTCAACTCTTTGATCAAAGGTTGTAAGAACACGTCAATGTCATTACCTGGCATTCTTTTACCAGGTATTATAGTTGAAATAATAAAAGCCGTCGACTTCATACACAACCATGGAGGGGTGTTGTACGGAATCAGAATGATTGGCCAAATACTATAACTAGCACTCATATTACCAAAGGGATTAAAACCATCGGTAGCTAAACCGAGTCGCACATTTCGTGGGTCTGAAGCAAATGATGTGTGCAACTCATCAAACTTTTTCCATGCTTCAGAGTCTCTAGGATGTCTCATTAAGCCATCATTGTTACCATGCATCGCATGCCATCTCATATCTTCGACAGTCTTCGTTGATAAAAATAATCTTTGCAAGCGTGGTTTAAGGGGAAAGTATCGAACAACTTTTGCAGCCACATTACGCTTCTTTCTTCCTTGTTGAGAACATGTATGTTCCCCTTCTTTAACAGGTGGTTTCCATCTAGATGTTTTACAAACCTTGCAAATTTGTTTATCTTCATCTTCTGCTCCCCAAAACAACATACAATTTTTTGGACAAGCATCTATCTTCTGGTAGTTCAATCCTAACTTGGTGATAGTCTTCTTTGCCTCATAGAATGAAGATGGAATCTTGGCATGTTCAAATGCATCATGCAAAAGCTCTAATATCATAGTCATGGACTTGTCAGTCATCTTACATAAGCACTTAATATGATACAACTTCACAATAAAGGAAAGCTTCGAATATTTATGACACCCTTCATATAATGGTTGTTCCCCTTCTTTTGCCAATTCAAAAAATTCCTTGTCACGATTTACTTCTTCATAATTTGTTCCCCCCCCTTGGGCAATGTTTTCATCCGACCCAAATAGTATGTCACTGTCATGTTGCCTATTTATGCCAAATGCATCATTGATCATGTCCAACATTGGATCTACATCAACATTCTGGTCTCCTGCACCCTGTGACTCAGCTCGGCCAGCAACATTACTAGTTGACCCCTCATTTGACTCTCCATGATAGAACCAAAATGTGTAGCCTTCAGGGAATTTCTTGCACAACAAATGATCATACACTGTTTCTTTTGAAAACCACTTTATAAAACCGCAAGGCGAGCAAGGGCATAAGATTTTGCCTTCGATTGCACTATGTTGAAAAGCAAAATCAATAAATCTCCTAACTCCTTCACCATACTCAATTGAATTTCGCGGTTTTGTAATCCAAGACTTATCCATTCACTCTGAAAATAAGGCAAGTATTTTTCTCAGTATCGCAGTTTATTATGTTGTGTTTTATGAACCAATTTTACAGCAGATGACAGTAATACAATATAACAAATGTAATACAAGCTCTTCTGAGTTTAAAATTAATAACAACTTACTTATTCTTTTTTATTTTTTTATTTTTTGTCTTATTGTTAAAATATGGAATTGAATCTTCTCGTATGTAATTGTATATATAAAAGGATCCATTTCCATAAAATATATAATCCAAAACAAATAAGAAACAAATAAGAAAAGAAACAAACTGTCACACTGTCATGGCATGATTACCCAATAGACAAAACATATATATATATACACACACAATGGTTTAAAAGGAAAACCTCAATTAAAAGAAGTTCAGACAACCTTGGCACAAGTGGCTTTTTTTTTTTTTTTGGTAAGCTCACAAGTGGCTTCAAACTGTCACACTCTTTGCACGTACCTGAAAACAACATATTCAAGAAAAAAATATATTATTTCTCAAGTTACTACTATGGCAGGGTGTTTATTTATAAAAAAGAAATATATAAATTAATCATAAAAGAAATTCTTATATTCTTTTTTCATAATATTAACGAAAATATGAGAAGATAGAGCTAACTATTAGAAAACATGAATTCTTTAATATATGAGAAGATAGAGCTAACTATTAGAAAACATGAATTCTTTAATCTAGGATATAGCTAAAACAAAATTAAGCAAAAAGGAAAGAATCGATTTTAATCTTGGATCTTATAATTTTTTAATAGGATAGCCATCAAAGAATAAAGGTACTCTTCATGTTGACGAGGCAAGTGATTCACCAAGGAAGAAAGAACGGAGCTTGTCTTTTAACCACATAGAATTCGGTTCAAACCCAGCACAAAAAGAAGATGCTAAAACAACATCAAATGAGCCATGGAAAGTAAGAAATAGAAAAGTACTCTCATAAAATACACAAACACAATATAATTCTGAAATTTTATCTGTCGTCAGTTTCAGCAATCTGTAACTATCATCAAAAGAAAGTTATAATTATGAACCAACAAAATATGCTCACAAATAAGCATCCAAGAAAAGGACGAGCAAAGATACCAATAATAATAATAAAAAAAACCTCATGAGAAGCATCTAAAACAAATTACCAATTAAGTCTATTTGAAGTCTCCAAAGTCAGATTGAAAGAGTATGCACAGGGTGTCTAGCAAATCAATGGCACAAAAGTCAAGTTGTTTTTCTAGTGGGTGTAAATTTGTAACACAAGTACTATGTGAAAGTTTCAAGAGCATTATAAAACTAAAGAAATAAAGACAACAACCATTAAACAAATATACAAGGAATACAAGATCAAGTGAACATACAGTTTGCAATCTCTCCCTTTCTTGTATTTTCTTTCTTTCAATTAGGCACATGTCACGTAATGAAAATCCTTCCTTACCTTAATTAGACCTAATAACTTACGACTGTTATGAATTTATAAGTTTCCCCTATTTTGTAGTAATATGACCATTTTAGTAGTTTTATTCATATTTTACTCGCATCCATGTAATTCTAAATAGATAGTAGGATTAATTCAGCAAACTCCATTCAAAATGGGGTAAAACAATGATGAGATATTGAGTATTATTTTGGGAGGTTTCTCTCTTCTTGGATAGTTAGACATGTAGTGTGATCAATCCTCTAATGTGATTGCTCAGTGTCAGGATCCTAACCATGAAATTTTTCTCTTATTCAATTCAATTTCTAATCTGCAGTATCCAATTTAAAGTCATATGTTGTAACCCAACCCATGGCCCAGCCCATCAGGGTACAACCCAAACGCATGAGGACCAGCCCAAGATATTTAGATGACTACCTCACATGATCTGAGGCCAGCTTGCTGATTATTGTTCTGATTTTATTTCCGGTTTAATTAAGATAGTAGTCATTCCTATTTTTAAGCGTTGTTATTTCCTTTAGTTGTTTCTTTTCGTAATCATAGGATTAGCTGTTGCAACAGCCTTCATATTTGAATTCTAGATTAGGGTTTACTTTACTATAAATATTGGAAGCAAACCTCAATGAAGGGAGAGTTGTTTTGACAGAATTCTTATCTCTCCTTCTTCTCAAATTCGTTCTCTTCCCTATTTTCCCTCTACCCCCTTACATTTGGTGCTTTCATTCCTGAACTTACCTCCATGGCTGAAAAGACTACACGCATGGCCCAATTACAAGATCAGATCACCGCTGTGGACGAACGACTTACAACGTTCATCACATCCGCCAATGAGGATCGGCAAACATTACTTCTGCAGATGCAACGAACCAACCAGGAGCAACTCGACCTCAGTCTCGATAAGTTCCAGCGCGAAATCACAGCTCTTCTAGAGACCCAGCGTCTCCAGCAACCTACTAGTAGCGTTCTTGGACCAGTTCCGCTTCGTACTGATCCAAAAAAACCCAAACCGGTCCGCCTTGTCTTCCCTCGGTTTGCCCAGGGCGATCCTACTGATTGGTTGTTTGCCGTCGACCAATATTTTGAGTATTACTCCATTACAGAACCGGAGAAGCTGTGTTTGGCTGCCTTTCACCTTGACCCACCAGCTCTCAGTTGGTTCCGCAATCTGTCTCGCGAGGGACTCATTGCCACTTGGCGAGACTTTCGCACAGCCATCATCAGCAGATATGGCCCAACAATTTATGAGGATCCCGCGGGAGCATTATGTCGTCTGACTCAAACCGGTTCTGTCCGGGAATACCAAGCAGCTTTCGAAACTATGTCAAGTAAGGTACACGGCATCACGGACGCTCTACGCAAAAGCATGTTTATCTCGGGTCTCAAACCCAAGGTACGCAGTGATGTGCAAGCACATTTACCTGAGACTTTCCATGCAGCCTGGGGCCTTGCACGCAATTTCGTTGAGGCTGAAGATCGCACAATTAGATGGGGACAACGTACCCACACTACCACCACCACTCAACCGGTCAAACCACCAACCTCTCAGTCCTCTTCTGTTCCAATCAAGCGGCTTTCCCAAAGTGAAATGCTGGCACGAAGGGAAAAGGGACTTTGCTACAACTGTGACGAACGGTATGTTTTTGGCCATAAATGCAAACATGGTTCTACTTTTATGTGCATGTTAGTCGATGACGACGAAGAAACTGCGCATGCCGAGGAAACAACAGAAGAAACTACTCCTGACAACCCTGAGTATCCTGAAATCAGTTTCAACGCCCTCTTTGGTCACCATTCAACCAAGGCTTTTCGTCTCACGGGCACTGTTAAAAGCACCGCTGTCCAGATACTGATAGACAATGGCAGCACCCATAACTTCATTACAGAACGCGCTGCAACCCACTTGCACTTACCCATCCAATCCATCAGCCCATTTAAGGTCCAAGTGGGCAACGGAGACAACCTATTTTGCCAAGGAATGTGTACTAAGGTTCGTATCAACCTTCCAAATCAACACATTTTTGATATTGACCTCTTTGTGCTTGAACTTCAGGGCGCGGATATTGTCCTCGGTGTACAGTGGCTATCCACCTTGGGACCAGTAATAACAGATTACCACACACTTACCATGACCTTTACCCACCAATCTAAACCCATCATTCTTCATGGCAACACCAGTTTAACACCTTCCGCCATTACCAATGCCCAACTACACAAACTAGTAGCCCACGAACCAATCCAGGCCTATCTCATGTGTATGACCACATCACAGCCACGTACAAATCCAATGCCTAATATTCCACACACCATCTCACCCATCCTCACCGAATTCCAAGATGTTTTCTTTAAACCTACCAAACTTCCCCCACATAGACCAACAAACCACCATATCCACCTTCTTCCCAACACAAAGCCCATACAGGTAAGGCCTTACCGGTATCCCCATTATCAAAAAAATGAGATTGAGAAGTTGGTCTCCGAAATGATACAGGAAGGAATAATACGCCCAAGCACTTCTGCCTATAGCTCACCGGTCATACTAGTCAAGAAGAAAGATGGAACCTGGCATTTTTGTGTTGATTACAGGGCCTTAAATGCTATCACGGTCAAGGACAAGTTCCCAATTCCCACAATAGACGAATTATTAGACGAACTACATGGTGCATCAATTTTTTCCAAGCTCGATCTACGGTCCGGATACCACCAAATACTGATGGATGCCTCTGACATTCACAAGACAGCCTTTCGCACACACCATGGCCACTACGAATTCCTCGTGATGCCATTTGGTCTGTCCAATGCACCATCTACCTTCCAAGCGACTATGAATGAGGTTTTTTCAGCATTTTTACGAAAATTCGTTGTAATTTTCTTTGATGATATCTTAATATACAGTCCCACACTGACTGCCCACAAGGAGAACCTACAGACGGTCCTTTCCACTCTAAGGGAACACTCATTTTTTGCCAAGCAGTCGAAATGTTTGTTTGCCCAAGAGCAAATCCAGTTTTTAGGTCACATTATATCTGGTAAAGGTTTGTTACCCGACCCGGAAAAAATTAGTTCAATTATTAATTGGATGCAACCTAAGAACGTGACCCAGGTACGCGCTTTCCTAGGATTGGCTGGATATTACAGGAGATTTATCAAAAATTTTGCAACTATAGCTGCCCCTCTTTCAGATTTAACCTCTAACACAGATTTCCACTGGGGCGACAAGGAATCAGCAGCGTTTGAAAAATTAAAGCTATTACTCACCACTGCTCCTATTCTGATTTTACCAGATTTTTCTATTCCATTTATTTTAGAAACAGATGCATCCGGTGTGGGTATCGGAGCCGTTTTAATGCAGCATGACAGACCTATCGCGTTCTACAGTAGGAAACTATCCCCGGCAATGCAAAAAAAATCAACCTACATACGCGAAATGTTTGCTATTACTAGTGGCGTGGCGAAATGGCGACAGTATTTATTAGGCGCTACTTTCATCATTCGTACTGACCATAAAAGCCTGTTTCATCTCATGAATCAAGTTGTTCAAACCCCAGAACAGCAA